ACACACACACACACACACACACACACACACACACACACACACACACACACACACACACACACACACACACACACACACACACACACACACACACACACACACACACACACACACACACACACACACACACACACACACACACACACACACACACACACACACACACACACACACACACACACACACACACACACACACACACACACACACACACACACACACACACACACACACACACACACACACACACACACACACACACACACACACACACACACACACACACACACACACACACACACACACACACACACACACACACACACACACACACACACACACACACACACACACACACACACACACACACACACACACACACACACACACACACACACACACACACACACACACACACACACACACACACACACACACACACACACACACACACACACACACACACACACACACACACACACACACACACACACACACACACACACACACACACACACACACACACACACACACACACACACACACACACACACACACACACACACACACACACACACACACACACACACACACACACACACACACACACACACACACACACACACACACACACACACACACACACACACACACACACACACACACACACACACACACACACACACACACACACACACACACACACACACACACACACACACACACACACACACACACACACACACACACACACACACACACACACACACACACACACACACACACACACACACACACACACACACACACACACACACACACACACACACACACACACACACACACACACACACACACACACACACACACACACACACACACACACACACACACACACACACACACACACACACACACACACACACACACACACACACACACACACACACACACACACACACACACACACACACACACACACACACACACACACACACACACACACACACACACACACACACACACACACACACACACACACACACACACACACACACACACACACACACACACACACACACACACACACACACACACACACACACACACACACACACACACACACACACACACACACACACACACACACACACACACACACACACACACACACACACACACACACACACACACACACACACACACACACACACACACACACACACACACACACACACACACACACACACACACACACACACACACACACACACACACACACACACACACACACACACACACACACACACACACACACACACACACACACACACACACACACACACACACACACACACACACACACACACACACACACACACACACACACACACACACACACACACACACACACACACACACACACACACACACACACACACACACACACACACACACACACACACACACACACACACACACACACACACACACACACACACACACACACACACACACACACACACACACACACACACACACACACACACACACACACACACACACACACACACACACACACACACACACACACACACACACACACACACACACACACACACACACACACACACACACACACACACACACACACACACACACACACACACACACACACACACACACACACACACACACACACACACACACACACACACACACACACACACACACACACACACACACACACACACACACACACACACACACACACACACACACACACACACACACACACACACACACACACACACACACACACACACACACACACACACACACACACACACACACACACACACACACACACACACACACACACACACACACACACACACACACACACACACACACACACACACACACACACACACACACACACACACACACACACACACACACACACACACACACACACACACACACACACACACACACACACACACACACACACACACACACACACACACACACACACACACACACACACACACACACACACACACACACACACACACACACACACACACACACACACACACACACACACACACACACACACACACACACACACACACACACACACACACACACACACACACACACACACACACACACACACACACACACACACACACACACACACACACACACACACACACACACACACACACACACACACACACACACACACACACACACACACACACACACACACACACACACACACACACACACACACACACACACACACACACACACACACACACACACACACACACACACACACACACACACACACACACACACACACACACACACACACACACACACACACACACACACACACACACACACACACACACACACACACACACACACACACACACACACACACACACACACACACACACACACACACACACACACACACACACACACACACACACACACACACACACACACACACACACACACACACACACACACACACACACACACACACACACACACACACACACACACACACACACACACACACACACACACACACACACACACACACACACACACACACACACACACACACACACACACACACACACACACACACACACACACACACACACACACACACACACACACACACACACACACACACACACACACACACACACACACACACACACACACACACACACACACACACACACACACACACACACACACACACACACACACACACACACACACACACACACACACACACACACACACACACACACACACACACACACACACACACACACACACACACACACACACACACACACACACACACACACACACACACACACACACACACACACACACACACACACACACACACACACACACACACACACACACACACACACACACACACACACACACACACACACACACACACACACACACACACACACACACACACACACACACACACACACACACACACACACACACACACACACACACACACACACACACACACACACACACACACACACACACAAACATTTTTTTATATAACGCTTAATAAAGGAGTTATTATTGAGTAAAATCTGGTCAATTAGCGCCGATTTTTAGCCGGACGCACGTCGGTGAGCCGCCCGCCTGATAGTATGCGGCGGCGCACACTTCACAGCGCGGGGCTCACTGACGTTCGCCCGGCTAAAGGTTGGCGCTGATTGGCCAGACTTTACTCAATAATAATTCCTTTATTACGCGTTATATAAAAAAATGTTACAGGACTTTTCTGTTCAGTTTACTGTGCTCTACCCACTTACAAGCGTTGGCACAATCTTTACCGGACACCCTGTATATAGATATATCTATATATATGTATGTAATATATAGCCAGAACCTTTTGCTATTCAAAGATTAAGAAAATATCAGAGAATCAAAGAGATTTTATATATAAATCAACTTTTTATCTAAACAGCTTTCGAACTTTTTGGCATTAAATCGACTATTCTTATTTTTATAGCTAGTTAAAATTAAAATTAGAATCGGTGTATCTAAGAAATCTATAAAAAAGTGTATGTTTTTAAATTTAACAAAATTCTAATTTTTTATCACTTTTAAATTTCTGTCTGTGAATTGTTTCATCTTTTTTAGTGTTATGACATAATTACACGTTTATTGACATATTCTACATTTGTGCAAAACTTCAAATATTCTTTCTTTGCTTTCTTTATATCAGAATTTGCAAAGAAATAAATTTATCAGAATAGAAATTATATATTCAAAAAATTCAATGTTGGAATATTTTTAGAATCACTATAAAATTCAAATAATAATGCTGATTGTAATTTATATAGTTATATGTATATATAACAGAAAATTTTATTTTTTTAAGAATTGATTTTTAAGTTTTATTTTGATTTAATTTTTATTTTGAGAAATTTGTTTTTAATTAATGTTTATTCTATTTATAGAAACATGCAGATATAAATTGAAATTATAATTAATCTAATAAAAATATATCTTTTTTGTCTCTTACTTGCAAACGATTACTCTGAAGCGTAAACAAAGTGATCTGAATCGGAACTTGTAGGAAGGCACTCAATTCGCAACCCACTTTCATAAGAAGAAATATATTATCACGTTTGAGACCTAATGTATACATTAACGATATCGACATTAGCATACCATTTATGCAACAACACCATCGAAATATTTTGTCACGAATTTTTTGATATTTTGTGGCCTTTATTGGAAGTGGCCAGCAACAAGCAAACGTTAGATCTACTTTTAGAAAAGCAAGAACTTTTTCTAGTGTCAATATCTCTGTCATAATAAAATCTCACGGACTATTATGGACAGAAAATAATGTATCTTATTACGATTTGTATTGAACTGTCTTTACAGTATTTTTCCGAGAATTCGCGGAAAGAAAAATCGCGCGAAGAGCGAGGAGAAAACGCATATTGAACGCTTAAGTTGCACCTATATTGCATTCATTTATATTTTATAAACGTAAAACGTAAAGTATTTTCTCTAGTAAGGGGGATGCGGGTAAAATTATGTAATGACGGAAATTATGAGAAAGACGGCAGAAAGAAATGATAAGTTACACAAGAGATATGTACCTGCATATGTAAATTTTATAATTTTTTTCGATACTTAAATATCAGTATCGATTTAAATTCAATGAAAAAGTATTTTTTTTTTTGCCAGTTCAAATGATTGGATCTATCTAAACGGATAAAGAAAAAGAAGTGCGTAATTGTAAGAAAGAAAATTTGAAGATAAGCGCGAATCTCTATTAACCCTTATCTCTTTATTAACTTTATTTAAATTAACACGCAAATCATGACATATTATAAAAACCACTAAATCTATTTCTATAATTATGCATTCTATTTTTGAGGGATTAAAAAATAAATAAATCACTCTGTTGTATACACATATATATTCCATTTCTTATTGTCTTTAAATATATGTATTTAATCCATTTCTATTTATCTATAATTTGGAAAAGTTTTCTAACGATATATGTATGTATAAATTTTATAAATGCCCGGTTACATGGAAAAGATTAAATTATAATTATGTAATTTTATGATAATAAATATAAAAAATATAATTAGTCTTTTCTTTTTACTCTACAGCTAGTTTCTTAGCCATAGCTTTTAATTCTTTCTTCGCAATTTTTCCTGAAATTGTATGTGGTAAAGCATTCAGAAATATCACTCCACCACGAAGCCTGCATTGATCCATCATGTTATTTGCTACCAAGTCTATTAATTCTTGTTCCATCACCTACACATACACAATTTAATTATTACAACATAGCATACTTGATTTTATAAAACATTTTATACTCTACATTAAAAAATAATCTATAAAAATAATTATCTTAACGTACATATGCCATTAATCTTTAAATTAATCTGCAATTTATTATAAGAAAAGGAAATAGAAATTTACACTCAATAACGTGTTTAAAAAATCAAATAATCTTGACAATAGATTTATTAAAAAAATTTTATTATAAAAATTTTTGAAGATTAAAATTTTGATGCAATTGATAAATTATGAGGTAAAATATTTCTATTTTGTGAATACTTGCTCTGTAGCTTCATCATATTTGCAACAAGATTGTACCTCGGCTCCCGGCATCTTGGTGACATAAGCAATAGGATGTTCATCATCTGTTGTATGAGGAATTGCTGTTACTGCAACTTCAAACACTGCTGGATGCGATAATAAGACACTCTCGATTTCTCCAGGTGAGATTTGGTATCCTCTGTATTTTATAAGATCCTTTATTCTGTCCATAACAAAGAGTTCTCCATCTTTATCAATATAACCAATGTCACCCGAATGCAGCCACCCTACAAGAAACTTGAACTTATTTTCATGGTATTATTACTACATGTGATATTATTACTACATGTGATATTACTACTACCCGGGAAAAAATGATCAAATCAGATCGAATCAAATCAAATTAGATCAAATTGGATATAAAAACAGATCTGATTAGATATAATTTGATCTGATTTGATCTGATCATTTTTTCCCGGATAGATATTTTGTTAGATTACTTTGTTAGAGATTACTTAGGCTCATAATCTTAACAATATGTGTCAAGATCAAAGTCCTTTAGAAAGGAAAGAGAGTACACTACTAATATGAAAATTTGCATAGTTTTTTTACCTTGTTCATCAACAGTATTTTTTGTTGCTTCAAGATTTCTGTAATAGCCATTCATCATGAACGCCGTCTTTATCCACAATTCTCCCAACTGATTTGGGCCAAGAACCTTTTCGCTTATTGGGTCCACAATTTTTATTTGTACATTCTGGAGTACTGTTCCGCAAGATCCATTCTTATGATTTGAGCTCTGCATTGTCCCGAATCCACCGAGTTCTGTCATCCCTAAAAACAAGAGATAGATGGTTAAATTTTCACTAATATTTTGTTGCTAAATATTTTGTGTCTCTTATTATATATATTATTATGTTTATAAAATATATAATTATATTAGAATAATAACCTACCAAAAATTTGTAATAATTGGACATGTGGTAAGATACATTTTATTTCTTCCTGTACTTTCACATTAATTAGTGCACCACTGAAGAGTATGACTTTTAAAGATGATAATGAAAATTCCTTTATATAACCCGCTTTAAGAATCCGGTTGACCATACTCGTGCTTAGAAAAGTCACAGTTATCTAATAATAAAATCAAGAAAGATTTATGCTTTTGCATTATATTATTACCATATATACAAAAATATAAAATGTGCGTATATTAATTAATTAATTTAATAAATAACATTATGATAGTATGTAAAAATGATTTTTTGGTATTGTAACTTGAATTTATTTAAATTATTATAATAATATTTTAGCATGTGAATAATCGTTATAATAAACACTTCTCTTACTCACAAATGCAAGTTTTCGGATGACGTAAAGATTTTACAAAATGTAATAATATATAATAAAAATTTTCCTAAGAGAGATAAATTTACACAATATTAAAAACTTAAATTTTGCTTAAACAATACATCATCTAATTAAAATATTTTTGCAAATCGAATAGTAACATCATTACTATTATTTATAAAACATTTTTTTAGCAAGCTGCAGTCATGCTAACATGTCTCAGTTATTATTTTGAAGTTAGAAAGAGACAAATTAAAAATTGTTCGCGCGCATTTATGACAATAGATAAAGAAAAAAAGTCTTTTATCCTTTACATAAAGAATTTTTTGTCTTTTATCTTTTACGTAAAGTGAAAGATAAACCTTATTGCAAGCAGTGTTATCGTAAATTTATCTTCACGACTCTCACCTTGTATTTTTCGATTAATAGGCATATCATTTCTTCGTCGAATTCCGGATAAAGAATTATTTTGGCACCTTGCGCGATCGCCATCAAATTCATTATTATCCCGGTTATCCAATAAAGTGATGAAAACCAAATCGACACTGCATTGGTAAAATCTATATTTTTATTCTCACTCATATACAACAGACAGTAATTAGATAATTCAACGGCCTTTGGCATTCCCGTGGTGCCTGACGAGTGCATGATACACATTGTTTTTTTCATGTCATTGCACTCGATATACTGGAAAGTCGCCACTTTCGCATCACTGTACATGCTCAAAATGTCGGAAAACGAGATTGCATCGAAGTGATCGCCGTAAATCACAACAGTGGTATTGCTGTTGCTCATTTTTACCGCGCTCAAGATAACGTTTGCGGATTTCTCGGTGCAGAATATTACTTTCGGAGTAGTCAGCTTCATAACATGCAGCGTGTTTTCTAATGAAAAATACGGCATAATTAATAAAGACTACGTAAAATAAAGAAAAACGGTAAATGAGATAAATAATACGTAGATGATTACATAATTAAATAATAAATAAGATAAAATATAATTAATTTAAAACTAGATAAAATAATATTCGCCATTGTTGGAATTAAATTATTTCAAATATAACGTAACAATGTTTTTAATTGTCACTGAAGAAGAACTCACGCAAATCCATGTTCTCGTTCCACGGATTAAAGATTGCGTTGATATAAATTGCTGCCAAGCAGGGTACGATGGAATTGAAATGATTATTTGTGCACACACTGACAACGTCGTTGAGTTTAATTCCTTGTTCTTGTAGCCACAACGCACATCTTAGGATTTTATCTTGTAACTCCGTATACGTAACTACTTGTTCAGTGCATGCATCCAACTATAACATTATTGCTATTATATAGAGTATCTTAAAATCACCAAACGTGCATTTTATTATAAATTGTTTAGTCATAATTAAAATGACATTGGATGGTTTTAAAGTATGTCTCGTGTAATTCTTAGAAAATATTAGTGTACTTGTTATGAAATTAATATCCAAATTGTACAAAATTGTACAATTGTACAAAATTCATGTTTCTATTTTCTTAGAGACGCTGGAATTCCTTGAGGATCAAAATAAATGATTTTTAATATTGCATATAATTGTAAACTATTAGCAATATGACTGTCAGTTTTAGACATACGGTTACAAATGATATTGATGATATTATATAAAATGTAGCCATTTTTGTGTCTGGTTCTTATTAGTTCAATATTGTATTTTAATTATATTAATTTTTAACATTTTTTCTGTCCATGCGTAATGATTCGATTACTTCAACATAGCATAAAAATTTGCTGATAAAGAAAATTGTTTTTCTGCATATAGTTGTAATGATATTGCATAGCAAAGAAGACATATTCTTATCCTTAAGGAATACTATAACATTTTAACGGTTTTTTAAAATAATATTTTCACTTTTAATTCTGTATCTAATGCTTAAATAATATATAAATTTTTGCTTTATATACACTTAATTGTTTATGAGAGCATATCTTAGAGGAAGATACAAGAACATAAATCTATGTTAATAATATCTTAAAAACATATTGATAGAAGAGTGATTAATGATAAGATAAATCTCTCATTATCTATTATCATTACAAAACATTCAATATTGATATCATATGTAAATATTGACTTACGTGTACGATTTTATCGCCATGACTTTTAATCTTATCCCAAATTATTTCTCCAATACTCTTGTAATTATACGTAGACTTTATCTCTCCCTTGTAAACGTTATTTTCAACAGTAAAAGTCTGAAAATAATAAATAAATTTGATAATAAAAAAAAACGATACAAATCTTTGCATGCCTTTGTAGCATACACACAAATATGCGTCTCGTGTTTTTAATCTATATGTCTTACGCCATATTGGCAGCGACTTTTTGTTTAAATATTATATAAAAATATTAATCATAATATATGCGTGCGCGCATGTTTTTGTACTTACCCTTGAGTCGTTCGTAGCCATTTCGCTGAATATATTGGAGTTTTAGATCCTAGATATGAAATGTTAAAAACAATAAAACGGCGATGTAGCAACTCTCTCTTTCTTTTACCTCTCTCTCTATTAATATATTAAATAAAATATTTATATAAAATGTTTGGATTCGAAGAATGTATTGTATAATCTAATATAACATAGTATACATAATAAGAATTTTTATATGAAATATTTAAATTAAATGTCAACGATTAAAATAATGATTTAAGAAAATTTCTTAAATAAATTTCTTATATTTTTATTTTCATATTTATTTGTCAAAACACAAACACACACACACACACACACACACACAGATGTTATCACCTAAGCACCTGAGATAAAATTAAAGTATTTCTACATTGAAAAATATAAAGATATATGTCGTCATAAAAATTAAAATTTGCTAAAATGAGATTAAATACATATTGACAATAAATTAGATTTGCACACAATAATACGATACATTAATAAATATTGCAATAAAAAAACATACCAATCTTTCGAAAACAAAACGTAGTTTTGTGCACAGCTTCTTATTGATCACTTGTCTCGAAAAGTCTAATTAAATTTCTATTTACACGATACAATGTTAACTTGTTTCTTTAATTAATCGCATACTGCTCACGAAGAAAGCTTTTCTATTATGAGTAATGTCATGATGTGAATACGCTTTAAAAAGTGTTTAAACCGATATATCGTGACTGTACGAAAACTCACAGTGTTCTATCATCCGCGATTGTACTCGGAGTGTGAGTCATTGCGCGATGTAACTGTTACACTAAATAATAAGAAGTCGTTCTCTCTCTCCTCCTATTTTTGCTCTACTTCCATATACACATGAGATAAGAGAGAAAAAAATAAACTCTGGATTAGTACCACTACTGTAGCCAATACTGCAGCTATAAATAACAAACCTTGAACTTCAAACTATTAAAATAAAACAAACGCATATATTGAGCAAGAAATAGTAGTAATGTAACGATATATGTAAAATAATATTTTTAAATTAAATATTTCTATAATTATTTTCAATTACTTTTTAATTATTTATTTTTAATTATACATATTTTTAAATTATTTTAAAAATATATTTGTATTACATATTTTTTATTTTTTTTCTAAAAAACACGAAACATATATATTTAGATACGATATATTCGATAACTGTTCCGTCTCGCATATTATCATTTTCTTGCAGCTTTGTAATTTTTTTAAGTATAACGATTTGTTATCAATATGCTTATTATCTCTCTTTTGCTGTTCCATATATGACTATTATACACTTACGTAAATGCTATAAATTTATTTCTCATTTTACTTAAAAAAAATTTTAAATATGTGCGTGTTGGAGAAAAAATATTCATTTCACACACACATTCTCTCTCTCTTTTATATTCATAAACTTATTGCTAACTTATATTGATGCTCGTCACATACTAAAGCGGAGCATATCAGAGAAGAAAACTGATTTTTTGTTGAACATGTAAATCGATCGAATAGCATAGGTTTTTCTTACGAGTCTCAATAATCGAAATTATATAAACTCAAAGTAAAGAGCAGCCACATTTATTTCAAATACCGCATACGTATATCACTTATTCTTGATTGCCGTCTTTCAATTTCTTTTTCGAGTAATTGCTTTCTAACATTGTTACTGCTATTGCTATAAATTGCTATAAATACGGTTTGTAACTCTAATCGATTTAATGGAATCGCGTACATTATTCCTTATTGCAAATCATTTTTTTCCTTATTTTTAAATCTAGAATATATAATTTTATAATAAGGAAAAATTTGAAATAAAAAAATAGAATAAAAATATTATATTAAGAAATATATAATTTACTATTAATAATTCAGAAAGTTCAGATATTTACGATCAGTTTGAGAAAAGAGAAAGTGGGAGGCAGGGAGAGAGAATACTTATAAAAAAATTAACTAAAAGAATGAGAAAAAATATTTCTTATGAAGAAAAAGTTAAGTATTAAAATAAAAAAAAAACGCTTTTTTTATCAATTATAGAATTAATTTATTATTCTTGTAATTAAATATAATAATTATATTATTAAGTATAATTGTTATTATTAATTATATATATAAATATAATAATTGGTAATCATAAAAATATAAATATAATTCATTATTTTATTCAGCTGTTAGTTTTTTAGCCATTGTTTTCAATTCTTTCCTGGCGATTTTTCCTGAACTTGTATAGGGAAAAGCATCTAGAAATATCACTCCAGCACGAAGTTTATACTGATCTATCATGTTATTCGCCACCAAGTCTATTAATTCTTGCTCCGTCACCTACACATATAACAATAATTGTATATTCTCTCAATAATTATACAAGGTGTACCAAAAATCTTAATACAAAAAAATGGAAGTGATTTCTTATGCAAATGCAAGTCAACGAGTATAAGAAATCACTTCCATTCGTTAGTTAAGTGCGCATAAACTCAAGTGCGCGCAAAATATGTAAAATCGATTTTTTCAAAAACAAAGCCTTGTATAAAAAAAATTTGATGTTTTCAATTTGCATTTGTATAATAAATTGCATCCATATTACTTGCACCACGATTTCTGATATCCTTAGTATAATTAATATTTAAATTAACTTACATGTATTAATCTAAGACATATTTATTATATTAATAAATAAAATTTATACACACTTATTCTAATATGTTTAAAGAAGCAAAAGAATTAGAAAAAAAATCTTAAAAATAAATTTATTAAAAATTGTATTATATACATATATATAAAAATTTTTAAAGAAATTATTTGAACGATTTACAAAACTTTTCAATTCGCGATTGCTAAGGTATTATTTCATAGAATCTTGCTCGGTGATCTCATAATTACAACAAGATTGTACCTTTGCATCGGGTCTTTTAGTAACATAAGCAAGAGGATGTTCATCATCTGTTGCATGAGGCACTGCTATTACTGCAACTTCCAACACAGCTGGATGTGACGATAAGACACCTTCAATTTCCCCAGGTGAAATTTGATATCCTCTGTACTTTATAAGCTCTTTTATCCTATCGATAACGAAAAGTTCCCCGTCTTCATCGAAATAACCGATGTCACCCGAATGCAGCCATCCTAAAAAAATTCAAACATACTTTATGGGATATTTTATTATTATTAATCAAATGTAGGTTACATAATTTATTGACATATATAATTATTTTACATAAATAACATTAATTTAAATTAATTAAATATTACTGACAGAGTTACGCGCGTGCGCACATAAAGAGAAATGTTTTTTTACCTTTTTCGTCAATAGTATTTTTTGTCGCTTCAGGGTTCCTGTAGTAGCCATTCATCATGTAAGCCGTCTTTATCCATAATTCTCCTGGTTTATTCGGTCCAAGGACTTTCCCGTTTTCTGGGTCTACGGTCTTCATTTGCACATTTTCAACTACCGTTCCGCAAGACCCATCTTTGTGATGCAAAAGCTGCATTGTCCCAACTCCAGCGATTTCTGTCATTCCTAAAAACACAAGATAAGTAATCGAATTTTTAAAATAAATCTTTTTATTTATTAGATATTGTTTATTATATATTAATATTATATTTATAATATTTCATTACATTAGAATGATACCTACCGTAAGTTTGTAACATTTGAACATGCGGTAAAATACGTCTCATTTCTTTTTGTGTTTTTGGCTTGATTATTGCACCGCCACAATGTATGACTTTCAAAGATGATAATGAATACTTCTTTACATAGCCCGCCTTAAAAAATCGGTTAATCATGCTCGTGCTTAGGACAATCATTGTTATCTGAATAGCAAAATGAAAAAAAAAATCATTCATGTTTTTGCATTGCAATGTGACAGTCATATGAAAATATAAAATATGTTATGTAATTTATCGAATAAACATGCATTATAACAGTATGCAAGAAGAGAATATTTTCAATATTTTGGAAACTTGTGTGTGTAATTTAAATTGTAAAGTCTTAACACGCGATTTGTTGCGATGGTAGACATTTCCTATATTAATGCAAGTCTTCATATGATAAATGAGTTTAACAGCAAATTAATAACATTCTTCTAAAAATAATAAATTTATGTAATGTTGAATACATCAAATTTCTTTGTTTAAAAAAAGTACTTAATTTTATCACGGAATAATTTTGTGAGCAAGAGCAACATTATTTTCATATTACAGTTTATGAAAAGATTTCTATCTACAAGTTTACTTCTACTATCTACAAGTACTTCTAATATCTCTCTCAGCTATTATTGTTTTTAAATCAAAGGAAGATACAGACATATTTAAAAATATTTACTCTTACAACTTCAGAGAAAAAATCTTTTATAAATGAAATAAATGATAATTTTGCTGCACAAGCAATATTACAGCAATCTTCTCCGTTAGCTTATTCTCACCTTGTATTTCTCAATCAGTCGATATGTCATCTCTTCATCAAATTCCGGATATAGAATCACTTTGGCGCCCTGCACGATCGATTTTAGATTCATCATTATCCCGCTAAACCAGAATAATGATGAGAACCACATTGACACCACATTGGTCATATTTATGTTGTTATCCTCGCTGAGGAGTAATAGACTGTAATAGGATATTTCAACGCCCTTTGGCATCCCCGTGGTGCCTGACGAGTGCACGATGTACGCCGTTTGCTTGATGTCATCGACCTCGACATATTGAAAATTTGCTACTTCCGCATCGCTGTACATGTTCAAAATGTCGGAAAATGAGATCATCCCAGGATGATCGCCGAAAATCACAATCGTAGAATTGCAGTTACTCTCTTTTATTGCGCTCGAGATGACGTTCACGGGTCGCTCGCTGCAGAAGATTATTTTCGGAGTAGTCAGCTTCCTAAAATGCAGCGCGGTTTCTAACAATAAATAACGCATAATTAATAAAAGCTACACATATCAAATAAAAAACACTAAATAAAATAAGCAATACATAGACGTGCGTTATTACACAACTAACAATAAATAATAAATAAAATAAGATCTAATTAATTTAACATAGATAAAATTATATTTACTGTGGTTGGAATTATATTATCTCTGATTATTTATTTATTAATCGAATATAACATAACAACGTTTTTTTTTTAACGTGCTTAGGACAATCATTGTTATCTGAATAGCAAAATGAAAAAAAAAATCATTCATGTTTTTGCATTGCAATGTGACAGTCATATGAAAATATAAAATATGTTATGTAATTTATCGAATAAACATGCATTATAACAGTATACAAAAAGATAATATTTTTAATATTTTGAAAACTTTTGTGTGTAATTTAAATTGTAAAGTCTTAACACGCGATTTGTTGCGATGGTAGACATTTCCTATATTAATGCAAGTCTTCATATGATAAATGAGTTTAACAGCAAATTAATAACATTCTTCTAAAAATAATAAATTTATGTAATGTTGAATACATCAAATTTCTTTGTTTAAAAAAAGTACTTAATTTTATCACGGAATAATTTTGTGAGCAAGAGCAACATTATTTTCATATTACAGTTTATGAAAAGATTTCTATCTACAAGTTTACTTCTACTATCTACAAGTACTTCTAATATCTCTCTCAGCTATTATTGTTTTTAAATCAAAGGAAGATACAGACATATTTAAAAATATTTACTCTTACAACTTCAGAGAAAAAATCTTTTATAAATGAAATAAATGATACTTTTGCTGCACAAGCAATATTACAGCAATCTTCTCCGTTAGCTTATTCTCACCTTGTATTTCTCAATCAGTCGATATGTCATCTCTTCATCAAATTCCGGATATAGAATCACTTTGGCGCCCTGCACGATCGATTTTAGATTCATCATTATCCCGCTAAACCAGAATAATGATGAGAACCACATTGACACCACATTGGTCATATTTATGTTGTTATCCTCGCTGAGGAGTAATAGACTGTAATAGGATATTTCAACGCCCTTTGGCATCCCCGTGGTGCCTGACGAGTGCACGATGTACGCCGTTTGCTTGATGTCATCGACCTCGACATATTGAAAATTTGCTACTTCCGCATCGCTGTACATGTTCAAAATGTCGGAAAATGAGATCATCCCAGGATGATCGCCGAAAATCACAATCGTAGAATTGCAGTTACTCTCTTTTATTGCGCTCGAGATGACGTTCACGGGTCGCTCGCTGCAGAAGATTATTTTCGGAGTAGTCAGCTTCCTAAAATGCAGCGCGGTTTCTAACAATAAATAACGCATAATTAATAAAAGCTACACATATCAAATAAAAAACACTAAATAAAATAAGCAATACATAGACGTGCGTTATTACACAACTAACAATAAATAATAAATAAAATAAGATCTAATTAATTTAACATAGATAAAATTATATTTACTGTGGTTGGAATTATATTATCTCTGATTATTTATTTATTAATCGAATATAACGTAACGTTTTTTTTTAACTGTCATCGCAAAAGAGCTTACGCAAATCCATGTTCTCGTCCCACGGATTAAAGATCGCGTTGACATAAATTGCCGCCAAGCAAGGCACGATGGAATTGAGATGATTTTTTGTGCACACACTGACAACATCGCCGGATTTAATTCCTTGTTCTTGTAGCCACAACGCGCATCTTACAACTTTGTCTTGTAACTCCGCGTACGTAACCACTTGTTCAGTGCATGCGTCCAACTATAACATTATTGCTATTATGTAGAGTATCTTAAACCAAACGTGCGTTTTATTGTGAATTTTATAGTCATAATTAAAATGGCATTGAATGGATCTGAAATACCTTTTGCACTTTCTCGAAAATGTTTACTTGATACGAAATGAATATGCAAATTGTATTTGATAATATTAAAAATAAATGATTGTAAATTGATATTATTTAACTATTATATATATA